ACCCAATATATATATATATATAGAGAGAGAGAGAGAGAGGGGGGGGGGGGGAAGGATTTTGGATATACTGTACCAAAATTAATTTGATGAAACCATAGAATTTACATGTATTCTCAATTTTTCAAAGTTTTCGAAGAAAAGACAAAATTTGCTATGAACGATAATTCTATCCATGACGATAAATTTTATTTGCAAATATAGGGATCGCAAAATTATTTGCAGGTATAATACGAATATTTATTTTTTTATACTTGCTACAAAAATTATTTGCTACAAATGTAAAGTATCTATCAAATATGCAAATTTGTTTGCTATAAACAGCAAATAAATTTGATAATTCAAATTTTTGCAAACTGTTTGCGTTTTTATAATAAAATTATTATTTTTCTTCGTGATATATCAATAGCTGCGTTCAGCAGAAAAAGCAACTTAGCAGATGTTGCAATATTTTTTAATATGATTGATTTATACACTTACAATTAGATATAATGAAAAACCAAGACTAATCACCTTAAAGAATTTTACAACAGTTGCAAAATTGCTTTTTTCTGCTAAACGCAGCAATAATATGTATCCGATGTATGTTATTGATTTATGTATTTATTGATATTTATTGATATACATAAAAACTGCAAGAGACAAAAATCATTTATTTTCTTCTCATAAAGTTCTGAGAATTTTTTCAGAATTTTTTCAGAATACCGTATTTTCTCATATTGGTAAAAATAAGAAAATGCAATACTAAAAATTGATAAAAAATCCTGAAAAAATTTTTAGAGTTCTCTTGCAGCTTTTCTATAAAGTTGATAATATTTGAGTAAAAATTATTCAAGATCAATATTTGGCAATTTTTAGTAATTAATATCTTAACTATTGCGAAAAATTGCAAAATAGTAAAGGACTTTTCAACTCAGTTCGATTCACTCTACTTATTCATGATAAGTGACGAAATATGTTAAAATACTCTATATATCTCATGATATATATCGTACATAATTTCATAAAACTGACGATTTAAATTGAATAATTACAACACTGTGCATTATTGATTTTACACGTTCTTCCCAATAATAATTAATTTAGAATATTTTTTCACTTCATTTATTATTATTTCTGGATCTTCGTAATTGGTAATTTTATCGGCTTTATATCACATAATAAAATTATATTATAATTTTTTCAAATAATGACTGAAGTAATTGGTGAAAATACTGTTCTGATGACGATGTCCTTTTATCTATACATCTTATATATACATCTTATATTTTTTATTTATTTATATGTTTATTTTTCTATAATAGAATATATTGCCTATAAAAAAATGTTTAATAGTTTTTTGGAAACAATAAAGATTATGACACTAATTCTAGGTTTACTTTCTAAGATATAAAAATTTTATAAATAATTATTAAAATAATTATAAATAAACATTTGGATATATATTCGATATATATCGAATATTTTTATATAAATATTTTTATATAAATATTATATCTCGAACTCTGAAATTTCTTTATATAAAAATAAAGAATGCAATATAGTGTAACAGAATATCTCCAGATCGTTTACCATAACATCTTAAAATCAGAACACTGACACCGTTTACATTCTCTCTTCCATCTTAGAAAATACCATCACTTGAGAATAGAACTTTTCAAAAGTCATCGAAGAAACATCGACGACGTTTGAACAGTTTTGCTATCAAAAGACCTAATAATTACAATCTTCCTTTTATCTAAATAAATATTTAACTACATACAAAATCTTAATATTAATAATCAAAATTTCGTTATTTGTTTGACTATTCGTTGTTAAACAAATTTTCGTTTTAAGTGTTTCCTCATTTATTTTGAAAATTAAAATAAGCTTCGTCTACTTTACGAAAATTAAGATAAGGTTTTCGGGAAAAACTAACTATTTACGAGATAACCGCAACAAGCTTTAATAGTATATCCGCACGAGTATATCAATACTTATTTATCGTGTTTCTTGTTATAACACCGTCAAATGTCAATCATTCAATAATTTCATTTACGAAAAATAAATATTAATTTTTTAAAATTATAAATTTCAAGTAAAATATTTCAATATACACATTTTTTTCAATACGTTATTTTGAATTTGCTATTTGAAAACGCGTCACAGCCTTTTTATTATTATTGTAAAATGGTAAATAATTTTTAGAGAAAAAGTAAGAAGAATGTAACTACGAAGATGACAAGACGGAAAGCATTGCATTGTTGCGAATGAAAACAGACATGAATGAAGAAATAAGTCCACCATTTTACATACTATAATTTGCACAGAAATTGTATTTAACCGTTTTATGATTTTTATTAAATTTGCGTTAATTTATCGACATGTATACACTGAGGATGACCTGACAAATAGGTCGAAACGTATGTGTTTTTAAGAATCTAAATATACGAAAAATTTGGCTTTTAGCCCTCCTGTTATGCATTTTGTTAAATAATTTTTAATTTATAATAATATAATAATTTATAATAATTTTTATTTTAGATTGAAAGCTTCTTACGCGCGCGACGTCACTGTTAATCCTAAACCTAAACTCGTGAACCACCGGTAAAAGTATAACGGCGATTGAATTACGCCTGTTAAACACAGATATGGTGAAATCGTGAGAAACAGTGCGCCTTCGTCACGTTTACTGTAACTTATACGTTGCTTTGAAGGATTATAGATACAAAAGATATTAAATATTTCAGCAGCTTAAGAATGTATATGTCACATCTCAAAACATTAACAAAAATATAAACATTTCATTGATTGTTCTAATATGTTACGTCTCTGAGTGTCTATGTAAAATTTGAGTATATTTCTAGCTTATTAGTTTAAAAGTTATTTAATTTTTTTGTTATTATTGTATGTCTTATTGTAAAATCGCGTTTTATAATATTTATTTGCAAATTTTGATGAGGTCGTAACATTACGAATTAAATCAAATTTATTTATATACATATACTAATAAAATTCTAATAAATATTCGTGTAAAAATTTATTTGAATCTACTTTTTCACTTAAAAATTACTTACCTAAAACTCAAACAAAATATAGTCATTTTGCTGCCATTATAGGCTATATTATTTGTTGTTTTTGCAATTGATTACAGAGTGTATTTATGACAAAAATTTGTTGGCT